ATCCATGTTTCATCAAGATAAAATATTTTTCTTTTTTGGTTTCTCATTTCCTTTATGGTTCTTAGAAAATGTCTTCTTCATATGACAATATCGCTTCTTTCTAATAAAATAGACTTTCTCGGATTCTTTTTCCAGCGGAAGCCTATTTCTTTTAAAAGTTTCCATAACGTACTTCGACTCATTTCTGGGTAATCCTTATCATCTCGAACTGAGACAAGAACTTTATCTAATGTTGGAAATTCTTGTCTAAAGAAGAATTCATGCACTTTCCGTCGAAATCCTTCTTTAAAATGATATTCTATTTGAAATTTTGGTTTCCCTGGAGCATTACGTGGCATTTGAAAACTACCACATTTCTCTTCTTTAATAACTCTGTAAATCGTAGATTTCCCAACACCAAGTGTACTGCTAACTAACTCAACGGTCTCATCAACACTTTCACATAAACGTTTGTCTGTAAATGATTTAAAACAATTAAATATTAATGTTTTTTCATTAACTGTTAAAGGACCAATTTTTCGGCGTTTACACGGCACTTCCAAATTTTCCATAACACTAGTATACACAATAAACTGCACCTTGCAACTGAAGTACCTACTTTTAGTGAACTGTTAAGAATTTTGAATACGCCACTTGGACCTTCCTACAAAATGGAAAAACCCACTATCACATTTTCTGTGAAATAAGTTTAGAAGGTAATTATCTAGTCAATTACTGTCGTAGATTCCTGGAATTAAAGAATTAAATGTTTGATTGTTGAAACCCTTACTTCGTGGAATGCACTCATTTCAGATAAAATAATACGTTTTATTTTATCTAAAGAATTAAACTTTATTTTGCAAATAGGCAGGTACTTATTAAACTTTTATTGGTTATATATAACCAATAAAATAAACATCTTACATTTCTTGTAAATTCATTAGTACCTGTTAACCTCTCATCACTCCGACACTGGCAACCTTATTTAGGGATTAGTAACCCTCACAACTATTGTATTCTATTCTGCTCCAACCTTTATAACCTGGTGGTCATACTCAATTTAAAATTGTTTTCCTATATACTTCTGTAAACTTGTTGACAAATATCTGTTTTTCATTGAGTCACCCGTATCAACAGTTTAGGGATTTGCATACATAATTTATTGTTTTATTACTCTCTCATACATAAAAATACACTATAACCTGTACAACGTTATTCCTGAAGATTTTTTATTAGCATTCCTTCTGCTACTGCAACTACGTTGAGAACAAGAAACTATTATTATGCACTATCACAACATATTATTACAGTTTCTATAAAATTATTATAAAACTTAAAATATTCGAAAAACAACAAACGTAGATAAACTTATACGATCTGTCAAAAGTGTCAAAACAATATTAACAATAGTATTAACAATATGGCCGAAGTGAGGTCATTTTTAGTCACGTGATGCCCTCTCCATAGATTCTAACTCGATATCCTAATTGAAAATGAGGAAGATTAAAATAATTTTAATGTTCTGACAAAAGTTTATTAAAAATCATTTAATTAAAAATTGAAGTGAAAAATTGTAGAATAAAATAGGAAAATTGTATTTAAAGAAATTATTAACGGTATTTTCCTAAAAGCAGGTATTATTAGAAAATTAATGTAACTAGAAACGTAAAATCATAAAAGTTAAAAATAGTCACAATGCATTAATTGAATGCTATACCGCAACAATGTTAACAAGTAATTTATGAAAATAAGCACTGCAAAAAAAAATCAATTTAACTTAAAAACAAGATAAAGTTTAAATGCTGCAAATGTTATATACTGCATATAACAATGTTGCAACTGATTACTATGCGATGTTTTGGCTTATTTAGGTTTTGACAAAAGTATCTAATATTAATAATAAACTATAATCAATTCAAAATGTTTATTAATATGTTTTATGTGCTAAATACACAGTTTAATGCTCCTTAAATTTAAACTTAAAAATAATGTTCCGAATAGTATATCGAATAAAAAGAAAAGACAGTTAAGATTCGATTTCACGTGTAGTACGTCCGTGTATCTGCTTATACGTATTTCACCCTAATAGGGCTCATCAGAACAGCTATTCACGGTCGTTCTGAGCGTGAAAACAAAACAAATAGAGTTGCTTTCTAAGACAGAAGAGATTTGTTTTCAAATTCTAGTTGACCTACATTAATTTTTAAAAAACCAATTTTCAATGTTACAAATATACCTATTTGATTAATTTACAATACAGATTACAATATTGATGGTTGATACTGTTACATTATTATAATTTTAACTTTTTCAATTTTAAATAAGGCTGACATCTGTCAATTTTAGACAACTACCGTAAGTTACACTGACTGCTCTGACACAACATCCGTCCTAACTTGTCAACAATGTCATTTTGATCAGTTGTTATCAACAGGTCCTCGTAGACACTTCGTCTCAGGACCATTTTACTCATGTAGAGTCATACGCCGCCATGTTACCTATCCAACGGAACCTTAACCATCACAAATTAGAAATACTAATAATGTAAAACAAATTCAAATTTATAACATTTAAAGGGTTTTTACCCATATATTTTGGTGGCTACTAGCATGTACAACCGTAAGTATTAACCACATTTTGCTCTAACCTTTGTCAACATTTTCATTTAACGTTCTTTTTAATTAAAGTGGTTATATACTTTCAGGTTTGCACTGATGATGGATTGTTTAATCCGAAAACGTTTTGCAATGTGTTTGTGATAGCCCGTTTAAGGCATTTTTATATACCTTTTATAAAGGGTTTTAACAAGATGCTAAAATGATTGTTTGATTTGACATGGTCGAGAACCAAACAAATTTAATACTGCGGCGCAGTACGGTGTGTGGGCGCACCAGATATCCCAACAAATTGAACAACGCCGCTGTACGCTATGTCGAACGACACCGAATTTGACTAGATCTAGCAAATCTCTCAGCCATAGTTTTAAATTTAAAAATTACACAAGTTTCACTTTGGAAACCAGAACGGCCATATCTAAGAAAAACAACCTACAAACAACACGTGCATTCTCCGGAGTCGTCTATATTCTTTGGTTTTAAGCAAAGAATATAGACGTCTATATTCTTTGGTTTAAGCGTCTATATTCTTTGGTAAAAATAATATCAATTCTGCGAACTTATTACCCTTAATCATCCGTCGGCATCCAATGGCGGTGCCTAAAAGTATTTCTGCATTGTGGGAGTTACAATAAAATAAATTACATAAACTTAAAATTATTAAAAAATTCTCATAAAATTCTAGGTGGCCTCTATTTAACACGTTTGCGACGACGCGACGTGTACCACCGGTGGTACATGCCTAACTTTTCATTCAACCGCTTGTGTCCACCGGTGGTACACGGTACCTTTCTATTTCTTAACTCTCTAAAACCTTACAGTTAATTGATATCTTGGTAATATTGCGTACACACTTAAAGTATACTTTTAAGTATATGGGTTTGCCGTTTTTTTGTCATACCATAATTTATATGGTCACTAATAAAACCAAAGAACAGCAGTAAAAATGGTTTATTAAAATTAAAATATCGTAGTATAACATAGATACTGTAAAAAAAGATATAATTTAAACTTATACAAAACTAGGTGGGTTTGTAAATTTCATTAAAGCAAGGAAGGCCTATAGTTGGTCTATTTTCACATGTATCGCAGTATGTACACACTCTTTTCGGGCTGCTTTAATCCTTGTGTATCCTAAATTTTATTATAACATGAAAAGCAGCATATTTTTGTTTGTCTAGCACTACCTTCATATTTTTATATCTTGGGCTTTACCAAAGATAATTTTGGTTTTTTTTTATTGAAACAATATCTGGTTCACGAGGACTTTTGTAACTTTACTTTGTAATAGTCCTTCAATAATTTTTTCGCCAATAGATAACATATTGCCTGTTTTAGGATCATTACCATAATTATTAAAAAGAACCCATGTATTTACTATGCATGTACCAAGACAAATTTCGAGAAACACTTCTTGTACCACTTAATGTTTTTTCTTAACGGGTAATATGAAGACATTTGATCGGACAAGTCCACAACTTTCTTTGTCTTATTATACACAATAACCTCAGGTGGTTTTAGAATATCTTCAGCTTGTCAGTTTTTTTCCTGTCGGTTGGAGGTTTACTGTATGGCTGGGAACTGTACTAATCATTAATACAGGGAAGTTTGTCTATCAATTTCTCAGCTCTTATGCCCTCATCATTTTTTTTTTCATATATTTGCTCTCTCTTCAATTTTTTTTTGACATACAGTTTTGAGATTTTTTTTGTTAGATCTAAGAGTTCCGCAAACATGTTTTTACACTAAAGAAGCTTTTTACATAAATTTACACTAGTATAATAATTATCAATATTATATAGTGTCCTTCCTTCATACAAAAGTCCCTCAAGTAATCCCATGAAAATATTGTAGGAATGTTAGACAAAAAAATGTTAGGAATAGACAAAAAACCGTTATAAATGCAACAAAATACTATGACACCTACGACTTCACATTGTGTCCACCGGTGGTACACGACGTTTTTTCTTGAGAATGTTCACTACAGCCGGCGTGTACCACGGGTGGTACATACAAAAAAAACTTTTAAATAGAAAAATATGGTTTTAAAGATATGAAAAATATATTGATAATAGTCAAAATACAGATTGTTATTTAAAATATATATAAAAAAAATTACGGCTGAGAGGTAAAATCTCGGAATTCTGCGTCGTCGCGAACGTGTTAATGACGCTCAATATAGATATACAAATAGACATGAAGGGAAGCAAAATAAAACTTCAACATATCATTATTTGTGATATACATAAATATTTTAAAGTTCATTTAATTTAGAATAAAACAAATTAATATTATTATTGCTAAATCTAGAACAGTAAAAAATTCGGAATGTTAAGTATTGAACCTATTTTTAAGACACATATACACAATAAATATTCAATGATCAAATTTTAACTTTTTTTTTAGATATGTCTTATCCAAATATGTTAACTCCGCCATCAAGCTCTGAAGATTCCCCACATTCAACTTATTTAGTGGCGTCACCTAATTCTAACACATTTGAATACGAAAATTATGAATATGCTCCTGTACAACCTATTCTCTATTCAAACAAGCCTAGTGTAATTGTTGATCCTTCTTTAGTCATGGTAAAAATGGAAGCACCGTCAAGTAAGTACTATTCAAAACATATTACTCCTAACTATTTGAAATTGACAGTTAAATTATTATAGCAGTTATATTATTATTTAAATATTAAAAACTGAAATTGACTTGAAATTTATATAACGACGTTGAGATTTGAAATCTTCGGGACTAGCTTCTTTAACTCTTTGGGTCTTCTAAAGAGTGGACGAAACTCACTTTTCGCCGAGATCAGGCTAGGCTGCAACAGTGAGTTCCTTAGAGAAAAGGTCTAGCCTCTAAACTGTTTTCTGTATTCCTTCTTACATGGTTTTAAAGGTTTTTTTACTACCAGATGCCCTTTTGCAAACCCTCCTCTTTTATCTGGGCTTGGTACTGGCAATGGTAGTTACTGAGATACTCAATCCAATGTCAATAGTTTTTAAATGTGTTATTAAATGAGACTTTAATTTCACAGGAACAAAGGTGGACGTTCTGACAGTTTTATCGCATGAGTTAACTTGATATTAATTTTTTTCGCTATTGGTACAAAACTAATAATTCTGTATGTGTTATTTAAAGTTCTAAACATACAGAAATGTAAATATTAACTGAAATAATTAACAATTAGAAATGTTATGTCGATTAGAAATTTTAATCCTTTCTAAATAAATTAGGTACTTCTTAATGCTAATATTTTCTATCTGAACAGATTATTGGTTTATTAAAATTACTGCAACATTTGAGATAAGAAAATTTCTAATAATTTTGAAATTCTTCGTTACTGGACTATGACATTATGTATGTTAATGATTATCAGCTGTGTGATAAAATCTGTACTATTAGTTATTTCAAACGGATTATACAGTCTATTCCATGAATATAAGTCTATTTTGAATTCGGTATGAAAGTAACGATTTAAATGGTCCAATGTGCTGAATTTTTCCAATCGATATATCTATTGGTCAGGAGAAACCGACTCAGTATCACCATATAGGATGTAAAGGCTTGTCAAAGTATGGCCACTTAGGGGAAAGAAGGAATAAGCGTTTTGGTTTATTTATATTGCTACAAAGCTTTATATCCATATTGTTCTGAAGCTATTTTCTTGTGGCATTGTAAAATTAATTACTATTTATAACTGGGAATAAGCCACAATTAAAGATAAAAAATACATTTATTGACGTTTCAATTTCCAATTCGGAAATCGTTCTCAAAATACAAACAGTAAATTAAACAAATTTTGTTTTTTTTGTTACATAGTGAAAAAATTCTTCTAATAATTTAATTTTATGTGACTCATTTATATTGACAATTCAGACATACATTATGCATTTTAAAGTAGACGACTTTAAAATGATATTGCCAATATTGTTGAGTTGCGCTCCTGGGACGACTTTACTATAAGATAGTTCATTCGATTACATGAAATCAACTTTAACTTGAGAATATCCGTCAGAAAAAATCATAGCATGTAATTCGTCTTTAAAAAGACAAACACATGACATGATTTTTTCTGACGGATATTCTCAAGTTAAAGTTGATTTCATGTAATCGAATGAACTATCTTATAGTAAAGTCGTCCCAGGAGCGCAACTCAACAATATTGGCAATATCATTTTAAAGTCGTCTACTTTAAAATGCATAATGTATGTCTGAATTGTCAATATAAATGAGTCAGATAAAATTAAATTATTAGAAGAATTTTTTCACTATGTAACAAAAAAACAAAATTTGTTTAATTTACTGTTTGTATTTTGAGAACGATTTCCGAATTGGAAATTGAAACGTCAATAAACGTATTTTTTATCTTTAATTGTGGCTTATTCCCAGTTATAAATAGTAATTACTTTATATCCATATCACAAACTGGACATAGACGTTAATGAAACACAATTTGGTTTTCGCAAAGCCCTAGGAAGGCGTTGTTCTGAAAATGGGGAAGGTCTGAACCACCTAAGATTTGTCGATGACATCGTTTTAATATCTGATAGAGTTGATAAAGCTACAAAAATGCTGCACACGCTTTATAAAGTGTCAAAAACAATTGGTCTTAAAATTAACACCTCAAAGACAAAATTTATGACCAACCTTGTAGTCAGAGGTAAAATTCTGATTGAGAGCCATAGCATCGACCAAGTAATAGCTTACAGATATCTAGGGCATGAGATTCTCTTAGGCCGAGATAATCAGACAACTGAAATACAAAGAAGGAAAATAGGTCTCACATGGACTGCCTTTGGTAGATTGAATAACATTTTCAAGTCTATTATCCCAGTTTGTTTAAAAAGAAAGGTTTTTAACCAGTGCGTTTTACCGGTTTTTACATATAGTGTAGAAACACTGACTCTGACAAAAAGAACAATAGATAAAATAAGAGTTACACAACGCGCTATGGAAAGATCAATCAAGATATATTTCTTTAAAATATCTATTAAAACTTGGCATACTTCTGGAACTATTGGACAAGTGGAAGAGTAGTTCATTCTGAATAAATACATTAAACTAGTATAGGAGTCACCAGTCGCCAAAAACCGAAGAACGATTGCTAATCTTGTTGAGATTGGTATTGCGTTTTTCATGTTTGTGTCTTTCTTCTCTATTCTTGGTTCTATCATATTTAGTAATAGTTCGAAATAACTTTTTGACATTCTTGTAAAATTCTTAAACAAATAATTATCTAACATTATTTCTATAGTTAAATTACTCATTATTTCGCGTTTACTTGAAAAAGGGCGTATCCACATTTTCCGTTTTATTTTTTTTTATGTATCGTAGCACGATTAAGGACGCAGCAACTTGTACAATGTCGGACATCTTTATTTTTGACTTTGTCTTGTCAATACTTCAAGGTTATTTTTCGTCTAAAATGGAAATACAATGCAACAAGCATGGCTGGAAATATTGCATTAAATATTTTTTATTATTGTTGACAGGCCATACGTAAATATTTCTGGTTTCACAAATATCGCTATTTCTACTAAATATTGCCGAAAATATGCAATTTTAGTGGTCCGTCTAAATGCAGCGTTAGTTCTTACTAGCAAAAATTTAGCCGACAAAAAGAGTAAAGTAGTTTTCCAAAGTCACATAATATTATTTAAAAGTCATTAAATTAAGATTAAAAGTGCATAAGTATAATCATTCATTTTTATTGCCTTGTTCAATAGAATACAATAGAATAATAGTCACCTACTATTTATACGTGAGTTTTATTAGTGCTTGGTAGTGGCTTGAAATTATTTCAATAATAATGTATTTTCTCACTTACAATGTTTATGTGACACAATCTTCTAACCACAGGAATGATCAAGTATACATATGAGATCATCTTATATATGTGAAATTAATATTATAATTATTGTAATATTTAAACAAGAAAATAATCACATGTAGTTTATTAACAAAATAAAACTGCATTAATTTTTTAGGTGTTTCTTCTTCTTACGGGCCTATCCGTTCCGGATGTTGGCGATCACCATAACTATCCTAAGTTTATTTGCAGCTATTCAGAATAGTCCGGTTATTAGACCGGGTGCAATAGACGTATTGCACCTTTTCCTTAGGTTTTGAAGTCAAGATATTCTTCTTCTCCCTGGTCCTCTATTTCCAAATACCTTGCCCTGAAGAATGAGTTGCAATAAGCCATTTCTCTGTTCATTTCTCATAACATGGCCAAATATTCTAATTTGCGCTCTTTGATTGTGTTAGTGATCTCGCATTCCTTGTCCATTCTACGTAGGACCTCAATATTAGTTACACGATCCACCCATGAAATTCGTAAGATGCGCCTGTTATACCACATCTTAAAGGCCTCAAGCTTTCCTAAAGAAGCTTCAAAGAGCGTCCATACCGCTACTCCCTATAATAATGTAGAAAATACATAGGATCTGATGATAGAGATTTTGGTACTAAGTGGTAAATCGTGACTTCTGGAAAGAAGCTTCATCTTTACAAACCATGATCTTGCTTTCCCTATGCGTTGTTGTCAGTAGAGTGGTCCCATTGGCTGTTTATGTTAGTATCAAGATATGTGTAGATGTTTACTATGTGAATTGGCTGTTGGTTTACCAAAAGTATTGAGAAGGTTTTTAATGAAAATTAACAAATATACACTCCCATTATTCAGCATTGTTCTTCTTTTATTCACTGAAAGAAGTCTGCAACAGTAAGTTTATTTGAAGTATTTAGCTTTGTTCGCGAACACTGTCCATGACTTGCTTCTTACTGATTCGCATGCGCAGTTGCGTTTTCACCGTTCTCGGTGTTAAAAATCTGTGACAGACAGAATAGTTTGATGTTCGAGGAGTTTTTTTAACTGGTTCATGTTCAAGATCATGATCATTCGGAAACCGATCCATTAGGTTCGTAGATTAGAATACGGATTTTTAGTCAGCGCAAGCGCTATGCTTATAGACACTGTAAGTGTATAATGAATTACGTAAGCTGTGACGTTACAATGGCGGGCATTGTAAAAACCTTTCCAAACGTTTTTAATGTGTATTTGTCTGAAAATGTAAGTATTGGTTTTTTTTAGTTATTTAAAGAATAAGTAGAAGAAATGAAAAATAAAAGAAAAATAAGGACTTTTCGTTATGAACATTCATTCTGTGCAACTGGTATTATTTGTTGTTCGTGAAACTGTGAGGTAAGAATATCAAAGAATTAAGGTATTTACTATAAATACTCATATTTTAAAGATATGTTATGGTTTGGTTAAAACTTTAATTCTTTTTTGAGTTGAAAAATTAAGTTGAAAAAATAGTTAAATTAATGTTTTAATCTTTTTTAAGTGTTAGTGATTTTATCCCATAAAAGACTAAATACATTCGTTTTCTCGTATTTTAAATAGTTAATAGTAGTTTAATAAATCCATGATAAAAACAAAGGATTACAATAAAATACTTTGAAATACAGTAAAAAAATAATTAAAGTTTTAATCATACAATAACAAAACATTAAAATATGAACATTCATATATATATATATATATATATATATATATATATATATATATATATATATATATATTATATATATATATATCT